CCCCTCCCCTCCCGCGCTGGGCTAAAGACCACCTTAGCAAAGCGCGTCCCAGGCTGCATAGCCGCACTACCCTACCCAACCATACCACACATAAACATGACACTACCCCCGGGATTTACACCGGCCGCATCTGCGGTCGGGGTAGATGACGGATGGGGCCCACCTACGAAGGCTGTCCAGGCATACACGAGATGTGGCAGGGTAAAGAGGGATAATCCCCCTCGATCCCAAATCATTGAGGCCAATTTCTAGCCATGGAATAATGGCGCGAGTTCTCTACTTGACCTTCAAAATACCTTGGAATGACCTTAAATGACCCCTGGGAGTAGCTGCGGGGTTTCGTGATTAGGGACCGCGGAAACATATGTATGAATTTTTCCAGATTTTTTCGGCGGTTATTTCTCTACTTGACCTTCAAAAGACCTTGAAATGACTGATGTGCTGGAGCACATTAACTGCTTAACTGACCTATTCATCGTAATCAGCGATTCCAAATACTCTATAAGGACCCAGACCGCTTTGGGTGTTTCATTGTAGATCAAATGTTGACCTGTGTTTAGAAGATTCAACGAAATACCTTTTTTCGTATATTTCAAGCCGCACAGTGCCCTTGGGTGAGGTTTTTTGATCTGGGTGTCATTGAGACTTTTGTTCGGCAAGCTGAGACCTACCTCTCTGCAAAATTTCAGCAAGATTTACCGAAAGACCATTTTCCATATATTTTGTGCGGGGTCATTTGCACCTTAGCCCAAGTTATGGATATATTTTGTACAAAAAATGTAAAACATTTTACCTGCTGCTTATCTGTAGAAAATACTCGTTAGAAAAATTTTTCCATCTTTATTTAAACCGTTTTACGTATACTAAGTAATAAAATAAAATCGTACTTATTTAGTTGTTTTCTATGTAGGATATGAAATGAGAGTCAATAACATTTATATCTGGCAGAGAAAGCGTTTTTTAAAAAAACGTGTAACAGGGACACACTGAAAATAAAAAAAATATACTTATATGGAAAAAAAAGTCTAAAATTAAAAAAATTATAATTCTGAATCTGAGTACCTATGCAGTAGTCGAGGTGAGTATGAGGTGTGAGTGCAAATTTAGGAAGATTCTGAATTCGTCCTTAAAACTTAAAATTCAATTCACGTTAAACTGCGCGATACGTTAATCTATTTAGATTCGTCATTCAACGCTGGGATTGTGAGACATATTTCGTGGAAAAGTTCAGCCATATTAATAAAGAGAATGTCGGTGGTAGTAGACTTACGTTTGTGTCAAACTTAAACGTTTGTGTTTTCTGATTAAGCATTATGGATATGAGCGTTTATTTAACAGCGCCATTGCAGTTGGATAAAATATGTCGAGCATGTTTAACAGAAAAAGGAGACATGAGACCTTTGTTTGGAGCTTGTTTGGACGAAATGTTACATTCATTTGCTTCTATAGAGGTGATTTGTTTTATAGAACGTAATTTAAAATTATACTAGTATTTGTTTTGTTAATTTCGGCATATTCTATAGCCTCTTCACTGGTAGGTATCTATAGTAAAAATTGTCAAGTATATTTAAATAATTTTCTCTAAAAATTTATTTGAGCTAATTCAAATAAATCGTTCAATTATTATTCTCAACTTGAAACATTAACTAAATAACATGTTCAGTAAATTTACAAATAATAGTACAATTATTTTATATACAACTTGGAAACTGAGTTAAAAATCTCATATTGGTTATTAAAGATCAATTATTAATATTATCATATATCTATCTTCATATCGATAATTAAATTGCAAGAATTACTGTTCTGCGAGTTTTTGAAAAATTCACATACATTTTCATTAGAAAATTATTGGACCGGGTTACATGGTTTTATATTATAACCATTAACATACAGATATATCATACTCGATTTTAAGTTTTCGACTTATTTACATTATTGCATTCAGTGCTGCTGCGTATAATATATTCATTCTAGGTATACTATCAAGTCGAATAATAAAAGATGAAAATATCAGAGCATATTGAGTGTAAAACTGTATGCAATTAATACTTAACAGGTATTCAAGGATCTTGGGTGACAAACATTCAATAGATTGAGTAATCGGAAGGCTTTGAAAGACTACTTACATTGTGCCACTTTATCAAGGCCAAAATTACTTTGTTGATACTTTAATCTAGTAAAAAGCAGAAAATGTTGCTAGATGTTTGTCCATCAAAATACGTAATGACAGTGTTGGTGGAATACTACAAAGTTTCAAGGGGCGCTGGGGTACCCAAACAATAATACTAAGTATAGGAAATGTATCAAACGAGATACTGGGAACTTTATAGAAGCTATTTTTCTCAAAATTATACACCCTGTCTGTCAACGTTTGGTGAAAGAGATACATATGTATATTTTCAAAAATACTTCTAATGACGAATTGTAATAATAATTGTGTGTGTGTGTGTAATTGAAACTTTACCACATTTAAAATTGTATTTCCAACAAAAAATCCTATAAATTTTTTGTAAAACAAGTAGTTTTATATAGTTATTTTCGATTTATTTAACCATGTTGAAGGTTTATTTTAAAGTTAAGAATATAAAAATACAATTATCTAATTTCAAAAATATTTGGTGATGTCAGAATTGTGAGGTTTTATAGGTAGAATCTCTTAGCTTCTTGACCAAAGGTATATGCGTAATTGTGATATATTTTTTACTAATTTCTGCAACCTATATTTTGAAAATCGGTGACTTTAGACCCTTAATTCATTAAAACTTTTTAATTTAAAATAATCTAATGAACAACCCCCTAAAGTTAACACAAAATGCGTTAGAAAATATCTTACCAAAAAGTAATAAAGATTGTCCACAGGGTGCTCCACAAATAAGTGAGAAAATTTTGTCTAAAAAGTATTTATTTTGCTTGCCTAGATACTACATATAAGCATTAATTAATTCACATTTTTGCATTCCTTTTTGGTAATTATTGAATGTGCTTCAGTAGCGCATAACAAAAATTTTAATTAAAAAAAAAATTTACTCTTAAAAAAAAGAATAGTTGTTTTTATAGAGTTAAACATGTACTCAAAATTTTAGCACTTTGTTCTGGGTCACATCCTGTATTCTATTTGAAAAATGTTTACTTTTTAAATAGTAAATAGTTAAATTGTTAGTTTCTTTAAAAAAATTATAGTGCTCCATCATTGAAATTTTACAAAATGTTTTACGATAAAGATCTGATTTTTTAAAATGTATTTTTAATTTACCTGCTTTATCAGTGTTATAGGAAAGGGGAGATGCCAAATGATTTAATAAAAAAATTTATAAGTACCTACAATCACACATCACAAAAGTGATTTTTCAAAGTCTGCTTATTTTGCAATAAAATTGTCTTGAGTTTATCATTTACAAATAAAACATATTTGTAACATTTAATAAATAGTTGAATTTAATTCAAAAATTAGAGATGTCCTATTTAAAATATATTCCTCTGTACCTCTGGTAATGATACCTAATATTATTAATATTTATTCCAGGTTTTATTTTACTTAATATTTTCAAATATTATTGCAAATTTGAATTTTCTATGGAATTTAAAAATTACTTTTCAATTTTTTCGGATAAATATTGGATCTTAAAAAAGAATTTCAGATTCGTATTCAGGGGAACACGTATTACTCCTAAAAAACTAAGCCCTAATTACATATATACAGACAGTTACATACATATATGCTGGTTCAGACCACCAGTCTACCTCTTCTGAAATCTAGGGTATCTAATAAAATGCAAAATTCAATATACCTCCTAATAGTGAATGGGCTATGCCGGATTGATTGGAGGTATTTTCAACTTCCGACTCCCACCGAAAGTCAGTTTTTTTAAATGGAATTTCATACTTTTTCTTATTGATCTCGATTCTACGTCGAAAATTAATAAACATTTGTAAAAAAATTTTTTTCAAAATCATTTTCCATCCCAAAATGCCTTCCGAAATATAAGTGTTCCGATGAGAAGTGACACAAAGAAATGAAGCACAGTACTGTACTACCAGGTAACCTAAATATGTAGATTAACGAGGTTTCCTCCACTGTAAAAATTTATTAAATTAATGGCTTTTGACTTTTATCTGAAAGTGCAACTCCCGAAGTGGAGGTTGCACAGTGAAACCATAAAGCATAAAATAAGGATAATAAAAAAAGGCCTCCCTGGTATGGAAGTAAAGAGGCGCTACTGATTATTCTACATTCTCCACCAACTGTACTGATTCTATGACATAATGCGAAAAATTAATAAAGTTGTTTTGATATCGTAAAAATTAAAATTTATGTTATCAAATTATGAAACCATGGTAACATACTTTTGTTACTATGTTATGTTACATGTTATTATTTTATATATAAATTGCTTATGCCCTTTTATGTGAGCAACATATTTCACCTTCGTTTTTCTCGAAAAATTTACATCCTATTGATTTTTAACTGTATTCCTTTTTTGTGTATGAGGTGTGCAAGGCCCTTAGGACGTTTAAGAAATTTAGAATTTTAACATGTTTCCTAGAATTATATCCCTCAAACTACCCGTGTCCATGCCACTGCTTTTGGGAATAAATTGTTTTTCACTTTTTTCTCAAAACAGTTAATATTTATTCAGGTAATATTATTAATTATTATTATTATACTTTTTTATTTACGCACGCACCCACGCACGCACGCACGGTGTTTCAGGATTGTAGACAAACTTTGAAAACGTGTTCCTCTGATTATGAGTAAAAAAAAATTATATAAATATGCTACCAGAAACGATGCAGGATGTTTAGAATTGCATAAGCATAGTGAAACTTTTTAATGTGAAAGTGAACAAATATATTTAATTAAGTAAAACTTGGTGTGACCTACGATTAGATAGTTTGCTGCAATGTATGTATTGGTAAAAAGTATTACTATCCACCAGTGAAGGAGATATGGGTAGGCGGTTCAATTAAACGACTACGGCCTTGTAAAAAATGAGAACTGGTACCATTATTTAATGTAATATTTTAACCTGGACAATAATTACCCCTTGGGGTTTTCTCATATTCGCTTCCGTTTTATGGCAAGTACAGTTTATAATATAGGTTCACCTCAAAACTTATTGATGGTTATTAGTTCCCTCGAAAATGTAAGAGAAAGAATAGTCCAAGCATGTCAAGAAATAATAGGGATGATAAAAAAGTGAAGTAATAAGTGAAGTCTCACTTTTGTGGTGTGTTATATGTTTATGTTCAATAGGTTTTAAGGCTACTAGTTACCAGTATTTGCAAGTCAAGAATTAACTCCACTTCAGTGTCGGTTGGCCACCAGTTTGATTAAAGTACTTTCTAAGGAATATATTTTCATTTTGAAATTACTTTTTCATGTTTCATTTTTAATTATAATTTATTGTGTTTTCATTATTTTCATTTTATGAACATTAATAATTTCTCATTGCTATTAGTGCCTTAGTCTTATTTAATTTCATCAACAAGGTAACAGATTTGTCTATTATGTGTGAAAAAAGTTTATGGTTAATTTAGTGAAACCTTCGCATGTCATTACCTAATACAAATTCTGGATTACCCATATTAACTATGCGTATCAATAATAAAATGATTGTAGTAGCTGTAGCATACAACATAAATGTAGGATATTAATTGATAGATAAATAATAGAAAATGAAGAAAAATATTTGAAACTATGGTAGGAATGAACACAATGAAACTGTAGACAAATTCTAATGAAAAATCTACAAATTCTTTGAAGTCATTTCTGGTCATGCCCGGATTATTCATTGATTTAGATTTTGAATGTTGTTAACTGACAATTCATATACATTAGTTTTAATTTAAAATAATCCATGCTGTTTAAATACTGTGAACATGCGTCCAACGTAATATGATTACCACAGGCCAATCCGTATCCGATAATATCTTAAGATTATGAGATATTTAGATATTTTTGTAAGTATAGCCATTAACAAGTTTATGAGGTGAACTTAAATAATATGAATTCGCTGTGAAACGGTAGCAAACACAAAAAAAAACTCAAGATATATTTTTGTCCAAAATAAAATATTGCATTCAAAAATTGTACCAGGGTACAGGGTTGTAGGTACTGCTTTATTTGCCAAATTAATTGAACTGCCTACTCATATCTCCACCACTGATGGCTAGTAATACTTATTACTGAGACATATTGCAGCAAATTGTTAAATCATAAGTCACACCAAGTTTTACTTAAATGTTTCTAGTCACTTTCAATATATTAAAAATATCTTTTTATTTGGAATCTTTAAAACCCTGTATTTCGAAAACGAAGCGTTTGCGGCCCTATGTTTATATACAGGGTGGCCAAATGAAAACGAAACAGAGCCATTTTCAGAAACTGCGTCAAGATTGTAGAAAAGCGCTGAGACCCGTCGATTTTAGATTAAAGGGGGACATTCTT